GGAGAAGAACCAATCATGAAAAACCAGAGAGAAAATTGAATTAGACGCCCATGTCTAACATGTAAAATACGAAATATTTCCGTTACAAGCCGTGAATTATTATACCCCCGCTTGAAAAGTGGGAGGGTATATTGTAATCGGTATGTCCGTCCGTCTATCTGTCTGTTACGCTTTGGGGTACCAATCGCTTATCCGCAACTCTTCTTATACCACTGAGTGAAATTGAATGAAACTTTCACAGAATCTTTATTACATATTGCCATTTTTACCTCCTATTTTACTTTTTGATCCGACACATATTTTGGGTTTCCCGGTCACAGCAAAACATGGACTTTTCCATTATAATCATATGGAAGGCGGGGGGGGGGGATCATTTAGTGAGCTCATTGCTCACAGTACCTCTAGTTTATATTATCCTCTTTCATTCCTTCATACGTGTGGGAGTTGTTATAAACACCTGTTTGTGGGAGTGTATAAATCATAGTAGTTATGATCTCACCTTTTTTCATTACAACTGTATAAAGACTTAGTAACCGTATTTGATTAGTCATTTTCGAATTAAGGCTAAAATTTCTTGTGAGAAGTCTTTTTTCAGTGAGTATTTGATTGAAACAAATTTACTTTAATAATATAATATACTTTGAAAATCATTAAATTGGCAGTTTTTGTCACATTGTATTTATTAACTTTTCTAATGATAGAAAGTGGATGGAATAAATTGGCATAATATACAAATATAACAATCAAAGAATTAATAAAAGAAAACCAAAAAAAGTAATGAATTTTAATATTAAGGACAAATGATTCAAACAAACTTTTGTCAAAAAATATGAAAATAACAACCCCATTTATGTTTTAATGAGTAAAATGAATAATTTTCACCGCGTAGTTTTTAATTTTTTATTCAAATTTTCACAAAAATTGGATTTGAAGTGAAAAATATTTGTATAGAAAAATATGGCTGGTTTCAGAAGGGTAGAATTTTGAACATCAAAGAAGGTTTACAATTTCTTAATATTCCAGAAATTTATTATTTGCATCATTTGCAATGAAATAAAGTCAAAAAATATATACCAATCCAGGCATCCATTTTTTGTTTGCATCATCTGTCCTTAATGTAATGTAAATTTGCTGATATTATCTGAATATTATTATATTAATATATCATATTAATAACTTTTATTTTTCTATGTATTACACGACTCGTTTTGCTTCCTAATTCATGAGGTTGATTAATAATTTCCTTCTTAGCCTTTTGCATACTGAAATGTTACGCCGGAGAATTAATTTTCATTTTTTTTTTTAATTTCAGGAATTATGGATGCTAGATATATGCTCCTGATTCTGATTGTTGCCAATGCTTTGTTTAACGTTTCAAATTGTGAGCTCGAGACCGCCAGAAGTAGAAGAAATACCAGAGTGATACCGTCTTCCCTTCTTCCTCGATTTCTCTCTGTAGCCAGATCATTGAAGAATCTGAACATTAAAAACACGTGGACATTGTCCAAATATTTAAAATGGCGTGCAATGTATGGTAAATGAAATAAAAAAATTATTGTATGAAAAATTTTATTTATATACCGGTATTAAATTGATTGAAAAATCTGATACATGTCTCAGAAACTGAATTGTATTTCATATAACTGAATAACTTGGTGTCTCATAAAACTGAGGGGTCACTGAAACAATTGAAAGGTGTCAGAAAGACCTGGAAAGGTCACTGAATGGCAGAGTTATGTCATTCAGTCACGCTTCAATAGACATTCAGTCATGCTTCAAAAGACATTCAGTCATGCTTCAAAAGACATTCAGTCACGCTTCAATAGACATTCAGTGACGTTTCAATAGTCATTCAGTGACGTTTCAAAAGTCATTCAGTGACGTTTTAATAGACATTCAGTGACGTTTCAATAGTCATTCAGTGACGTTTCAATAGACATTCAGTGACGTCTCAATAGTCATTCAGTGACGTTTCAATAGTCATTCAGTGACGTTTCAATAGTCATTCAGTGACGTTTCAATATACATTCAGTCACGCTACAATAGTCATTCAGTGACCTTTCAATAGTCATTCAGTGACGTTTCAATAGACATTCAGTGACTTTCAATAGTCATTCAGTGACGTTTCAATAGTCATTCAGTGACGTTTCAATATACATTCAGTGACGTTACAATAGTCATTCAGTGACGTTTCAATAGTCATTCAGTGAGTTTCAATAGACATTCAGTGACGTTTCAATAGTCATTCAGTGACGTTTCAATAGTCATTCGGTCACGTTTCAATAGAAATTCAGTGACGTTTCAATAGTCATTCAGTCACGTTTCAGTACATTCAGTCATGCATCAATAGTCATTCAGTCGCGTTTCAATAGACATTCAGTCACGTTTCAATAATCATTCAGTCATGCATCAATAGACATTCAGTCATGTTTCAATAAACATTCAGTCATGCATCAATAGACATTCAGTTACGTTTCAATAGACATTCAGTCACCTTTCAATAGACATTTAGTCACGTTTCAATAGACATTCAGTTACATTTCAATAGACATTCAGCCAAATTTCAATAGTCATTCAGTCACGTTTCAATAGTCATTCAGTCACGTTTAAAAAGACATTCAGTCACGCTTCAATAGACATTCAGTCACGTTTCAATAGACATTCAGTCACGTTTCAACAGTCATTCAGACACAATTCAAAAGTCATTCAGACACGTTTCAATAGACTTTCAGTCACGCTTCAATAGACTTTCAGTTACGTTTCAATAGTCATCAGTCATCTTTCAATTGTCAATCAGTCACGCTTCAATAGACATTCAGTCACGTTTCAATAGTCATTAAGTCACGCTTCAATAGACATTCAGTCACCTTTCAATAGACATTCAGTTACGTTTCAATAGTCATTCAGTGACGTTTCAATAGTCATTCAGTCACGCTTCAATAGACACTCAGTCACGTTTCAATAGTCATTCAGTGACGTTTCAATAGCCATTCGGTCATGTTTCAATATACATTCAGTGACGTTTCAATAGACATTATGTCATGTTTCAGTAGAAGTTCAGTCATGCATCAATAGACATTCAGTCACGTTTCGGTAGACATTCAGTCACCTTTCTGTCAGCAAAATGACAGAGTTTCATCTTGTGATTTTGACTCACTCCATTCCCTCTTTTCATCCCTGAGTTTGAACTTTTTTCACACATCACATTAGTTCACAGTGCTTGTTTAAAGTTCTTGTATAAATATCTGCAGAAACTCCAAAACAGTCTTTCAACAGAAGAAACAAACTATTTCATTCGAAAATACGCGAAATTGAAGTAAAATCAACGTAAAATAAAAACATGTTTTTACAACCAACGAAGAGCGGTAGAAATACGATAAGATAACTTTTCGCTGATAAAAAAATTTATCCAGTCTCGAATCTAGCAGCACGACATGACGAAAAACGTATAAGATAATGAAAAGTAATCATCTTTTAAAAAAATAAAATCTTACAAATGATTTAAGAAGGCATAAAAAGGACTCCTGGAATTTCAGCGGATTCATGTGTCTAGAAGGAGTTGGCAAATCTCCTTTTGACGGATCGATGTAGGTGGAAATTTAGTGTCAAAACAAAGGCTTCACAATTTTTATGAAATTTGTCAGTCAAAATATGATCCAATGATAGGTTATGCTTGCTAACAAGCTTTTCGACCATTATAGTGACTATAGAATTATAACAAAATGTTGACTTTCAACGAGATTGATGAAATCCATGAAACAACTTATCTGTCAGTAGTTTGTATAAAAGGATTTAAAAATTGGTGGTACTCGGAGCATTCTCTAGAGTTTTTGGATAATTTGGAAGACATTCTTTATAGTATTATGTTTATGCGGAATATTTCTAAGAAAATATGGAAAGTTTACGTTGAGGATGGAAAAGTTCAAGTCATAATATCCAGTTTGTCATATGATTTAATTACTATAGTAGGCCTTTGCTCGTCCAGATCATCTATCGTCAGTAAAATCTTCAAAATATGAAACCGACGTGAAAGATTTTTTGGGGTCTTTTATCTCTTTATTTCAATTGCTAAAAGATGAATTAATTCAACATACACGTATGATACATGATTACATGTGTATGAAAAAGTTGTCCATATACCGGTATATGTAAATGTGTAAATAACTAAATATGTAAATACTTTATTCATGTATTGGTTCCAGTTCCCTTTTTAAGCAGTAAAAGGGGGGGGGGTATTTCCATTTCAATATTGAACTTACATCTTCTGAAACACTAACGTATACTTACATGTAACTTCTCCCCCTTTACCCTTAAAAAAAGACTGAACATGAAAAAGTATAACAAGAAAAATCGGTCTATAGACCTATAAAATTATTATTTAAGACAATTTAGAGATTTCAATTTATCAATTTTATTCACGAACCTGTTTGTGTCAAAAAAGTAAAAACTGTAGATCTATGCTCGTACATTCTCAACCTTTTTGGAATGTTGGAATTTGCTGTCTTTAACCATAGGCCCTGTGTCGGAATCGGAAGGGGGACTTAGTCCAGCCCACTTTTTTTCAAATATAGACATAATATAAACATCGAAAATTGGGACTTACTTTTTTCGTTGGTTTAGCCCCCCCCCCCCCCCCCCCCCCCCAAAAAAAAAAAAAACAAAAAAAACACACACACACACACACACACACACACTTTTAATTATGTTAACTTTTCAGCTACAAAATAAGAGGGTTTGGGGCATGCAGCATCTTACTATTATTTATATACATATAAATATATATATAGCAAAAAGACTACTCATGAAAAAAATGGATTGGGTATCCCCGTTTTACTCGTTGTCCATCGTCGAAGATCAACTTTTTCAATTCGTGTCGGGTTCGGAAGTCACACAATTAATATTCGCGGGAAATCTGAGTTACGAAACATCAAAACAAAACAATCCAGTGTGTTTCATTGCACTTTCTACTCCTATAATCTGATAATCCAACTTCTATCAGAATGGTTGAAGGCCCAGGTTGTAAACTTAAAGGAGAGAAAATAAAATCAAAGCTTATGAACCAGACAGTAAAATCGGTTTCTGGAAACGCTGTGGACAGGGTAAGACCTGAAAAATGTATAATTAACTGCTTAATTTAACAGTTAAAGCTTTTCATTTAATCCAATTAAGGTATTCAATAAAATAATTAAACGACGAAATGCAAGCTTTGGTTGTAAGTATGGGAATTATTGTTGCACTTATTGCAGTAAAATACATAACCTGCTATAAAAAGCGTCATATACAATCTTTCGACGTGTTTTAGCTGCAGATCTGTACAGTAGCGTAATGGTTTTATATATTTGTCTTTTACCATAACGCTACAGAATCCATTCCGTAATGCAAAAAAGGTGTAATTTACGGCGCAAGATTTAATTGCTCATTTTTGGAGAGAATTTCTCCACTTTCAAGCACTGTTCAATCAACTACCTTTCACTCCCTGATTCTAGGCACATAATTTATCTAATCTGTATTTTTTATCCATCTTCCAACCCTTCATAGTCGTCTCTACAAGTGATAAACTTGCTTGATTAAAATTATTTGTGAGATTGCTGACAATTCACTTCAAGTGAGTTTATTGCCTGTAGAGACAACTATATGGTTGGGAGGTGGATAAAATATACATATTGGCTACAGTATATGTCTAGAATTGGGTAGTGAAAGGTAGTTGATTGACCAATGCCTGAAAGTGGAGAAATTCTCCCCAAAAAGTGCGCAAAAAATCTTGCGCTGTAAATTGCACCTTTTTTGCATTACAGAATCTGTAGCATTATGATCCAAGACAACTATATAAAACCATAACGCTACAGACCTGCAGCTAGACGTGACACATATTTTATTCAGGGATCGACATTAATGGTTGTCTGATTGCCCGGGACAAGTAAATCATCAGGTTGGGCAAGTGAAACCGTTGATGTACTTGTCTGATCGGGCAAGTGGATATTTTTGAAAGAAACATTTTTTTTAATCTAACAAAAGTTAATAAACAAACCAATAAATTGAAAAGTTGATTTCTGACAAAAACGTGACATTGTTTTTCCATTCGGAGTCCCTCGGTAACGTTTCTGGATCATACCTTAATTTAGAAATTGGGTTCGTTATTCTGTTTTTCTTTCGTAGTTTACAAAAGATACGCTCTCTGCCTGACAATTTATTATGAACTTTCGTTACATTCTTACGATATATATACATATGTATAATAGAATAGTTTATTTAATCACTTACAGAATATAAAGAACACCTGTTCTCGATGCTTGATGTATCTTGATTCAAAGCACTGTAACTGTTTTCCTTTTTGTATGACCTCAATAGCGTAGGCGGTGGGGATTCAATTTTCGAAAAAAAAATGTTGGGAAATAATATAAGTGCATTGCTGTGTGTATTTACAAGATAGTAGATGACAGGAAAGTTGTTTACATATATTTACAAAATGTAGCATCATCGTCATATCAAAAAATGATTTTTTTTCCCCGCAGTTAAGTTTAAACAGAAATTAATTTGTAACTCCTAATTTTTACACATATTTTCTTTAAAATTTTTGGGCAACCAAGTTTTGCGTTCGGACATGCCCGAAGGACAAGTGAATATAAAAGTTAATGTCTATCCCTGTTATTGTTTCCCAGGTGCAGAAAAAAAAATGTAATGTGCCGTGTATGATCAGATACGTATACGATCTACCATGATTTGTAATTGGATATGATTTTTATCTAATGAATTGTGTGTTTTTTTTATCCCCAAGACTTGGCAAAGGGGAAAAAATGCACAACGAGTGGGATATAAAAATCATATCCAACCCCAGACATGGAAAATTCTTTTTATTCCTTGTTTTAAAATCACTATCAATGTTTCACACAGTTTGTAAAGTGCATGACTCTCGGTATCATAACATCTAGCACACATTTATAATGACAAAATGATATTTTCCATTACATGACATTACATCTATGTACAATGTATTTAGCATGTTTAGTGAATAGCTCAGAAAAGCCTATAAAGGTACAGAGTACAAAGTGATTTTCAATGGTTTAAAGTTATACCTGCTTAGACTAGAGGAACATAGAAGATTTACTGCACTATTTAACCAGTTTGCTTAAAAAGCATTTAATGGGGATAAGTAAAGTTTGAGGGTAAGCAAACAATTTTAAGGGTTTAATTAAAGGTTATGGGAAAGTAGATCAAATCTCAAGAAGTATTCTATGGTCTGAAACAAACAAACAGAAAGTGATGTCTCATTCAGTGAATTTCGAGATAATACACGTTTCATAAGGTAATCAAGGTTCATTTTTAAATGTTTTATTTTATTTATTAATAGGAGAAAAAACCAAAGAAAGGCAAAACAGACTCACAGTTTGATGTGCTCATAGGAAAAACATTGACAAAAGTTCAGACTCTTGGGAAGGAGCTTTTTATGTACTTTGGAGAAATATGTTTAAGGTACCAAACTCAAAGACGTGAAAATATATGCTGGTAGTCTTTCTCAACCTTGGAAGAAGAACAACAATCTAATACGATATCAATTTGGAAGCCATTATCAGTTTTTTTGATTCCTCATTATTTTTATTTCATTTATTTTTGACTGACGTTCAATCAATTAATTATCCAAGGCTCTTGAAATAGAAAAAAACTCAAAGAAGGATTTCAATTCCTTTTCTTTGTTATTCAGATCAAGTTAAAACTTGTCCTATTCAAGCAGGAGTTTTGTCCCTTTTTCATCAACAGGGTTCATTTTCTGATGGCTGGGTCATTTCGTGTAAATGGACAGGCTCTGGACAAAGATTACGGGAAACTGACCGAGACGCCTTCCTTACAAGTGGACTTCTCTTCAGATGTACTGACATTTTACAAGTCTGCAGTACAAATCAGGTGGGAATCCACAACCGATCAAATTTAAAGTAGTTCTGTATTTGCACTATGTCATTGACAGTTTTAAATTTAAATACATGTAGTGTACAGTGCATAGATTTAAAACACATGATACAGTAATTGCTAAAAAATACATGACTTGTTTGTGATTTTGACAAATGGTATTATGTATTGAGTTTCTGGGATTCTTTCTGTATTAATCATATTAAAATTGAAAAATGTTATCTATCAATTTGGAAATGTGAACTAGGAAAATTTGCAAAAATACAGCTTTGTTGTACTGCAATTGCAATGAACTTGAAAATATTTTTTATAAATATACTGTGGTCAGATTTATTTGAAAGAAAACAAAATCAACTAAAACATCCATTTACTTTCCAACTTTTTGATCTCTCAAAATCTGTTGACAGAGAGTCGGAGTCTTGCAGCACCAGGTATGATAATCTTCATGACCTTGACATTTGCTCCCCAGTATTTAACCACCAGAGGGCCGTAACCTTGGTGATGGAGCAGTGTGATCGTCAGGTGTGTGATGTACTGCTGGATCAGACCATTCTCCCAGGGGTCGGAAATATCATAAAAAATGAGGTACTGGATTGATTGATTGATTGTATGTTGTTTAACGTCCCTCTTGAGAATTTTTCACTCATATGGAGATACTTCTAGATGCCAGTGGAGAGATGCAAATTTTGTCTTATGCTCGGCACTCAGGGGCATAGAGCAGTGATTTTGTTTTTCGTGCCAGCACCATGAAATAAGTATTATTTATACCCGTCTAGATGTCATGACTTAATGTTGTTAAAACAGTTGTTAAAAGGGAATTGTATGTACGTTGTAAACTGACTTATCCTAGATGGGCATAATAAATAATATGAATTAAAACATGTGATTTTTGGAAAGAGAAACTCCATCACATATTGTGATATTCACAGACTTGATTTACAAATTTTGCTTACCTAGAAGAATAGAGATTTCAATTTTTGTTCTCATAGAAAATTTGAATTTATTTTCTTTGTTGATAAGCATTTTTCTATCTTCACTCAACATTTATCTTGATTAATACAGACACTGCTCTTCATTAAGTTTGTTAAATCTTAAACTTTCACATGGACAATAGAGCTTAATACATTTTTTTTATTACTCAGTTTTATACTACATATTATAAAGTATTTAAGCAGTGGTACACTTCAATTGCATTACAATGGCCTTTACTTTCTCATTATTGTACAGTACAGTATTTAGACACTTTCATATTTTACAAAGGAGGGAACATTTTATTCTCTCTTTTAATATAATAGAAACATTCCAATTCCAGGTAAAAGCAAACATTTATATAAAGGGACTTGAAACATTTATTTTTCATTTTACTATGTAGGCATTATTTGACAGTGGTATCAAACCAAGTTCAAAGGTAAGGAATGACTTGAATTACTAGATGAGACTTTTCTGTTTATTTCTTAAAGCAATATTCTTGTTGTTTTTTTAGTATTCAATTTTTCCTCTTGGGTCAAATAAGTTTTCAGGAACTGAAATTAAGATGCAAAGAAAAATGCTTGTGAGAGGTTTACATCTACATAATTAAGTTTAAGAAAACATTCATTTCATTACCAAGTATACATTTTATAATTAACTCTAAAAACTGAGATTAAGGTTGAGCATTTCTATTTCAGGTCCAGGAACTTTCTAAGGAGCTGATTTCACACCTTGTAAAAATGACACGAGATTTTTCACTAATTTTCTACAAGGTAGGATATGTAAAGTGTCTGTTATTCTGATGCGATCTTTGTTGCTTTACGTGTGCAATGTCATTACAACCTAATACTTATATTAATTACGGTATCAATTTTTTGGTTTTATGAAAAGTGAAATATTGCATTGAAATAAACAGTTTCTAGTTTAATAAATCATGAAATTTAAGATTTCAAATTTTTGCATGGTCTATCTAATGATATACATGTACAGCTAAATAACAATTATAGCTAGGTTGAATTCAATATTAGCAAGAGCACAGAACTTGAATATTTGCTTGTAAAGAAGTGAAAAATCCTAAATAATTTACCATTTTTTTGCTAACATTGTGTAAAAAAAAAACGTTTTGATCTGTCTTAATGATTTCTTGGGAAAAAAATTTCCCAATCGATTAATTACTGTCAGATCATCAACAAAATTTCCTGAAATTTAAACTACGTCCTATTCTTTGAAAATAAATCCATTCTTTTAATTAGTGTAGAAAAACAGGCACCAATTTGAACCAGTATATGAAGATATACAACAAGCGCAAGTGTAGCCAGTGTGAAGGAAAAGTGACAATAACTCGTACGGGAGAAGACAGTGAACGAATGACCCACTATTGTCCTATTTGTCAGACCAACACACTGAAATCAACTGTCAAGTGAGTAGTGGATGTTGTTTATTGTGGTAGGGCACATTAAAAGGAAAGATATTTCTAAAGCAGCTTATTATTTAGCTCACATGAGCTTTCTCCTTCCTTGCCTCCTAATACCTTTTCTTAATGAAAACTCGTATGCACATTTTCATATACATTTGACAGAATTCATCCATCTAAAAACAGTCTGCTGGGATGGGTTCAGACAGCCAATCAGAAAGCTGAAGGAAATACAGCCAATCAGAAAGAAGACGGAAATACAACCAATCAGAAACCAGAGGATGATTGGACTTGCCGGGTTTGCACACTGATAAACAAAGGGTCACATATCAGTTGCGAGGCTTGTCAAACAGAAAGAAAATGTGAAATTTCTGGTGAGATTTTGATCTTAAAAAAAAATCAAGTACTCAATTTCTTTTTTTTAATTAAAGCAATCTTAATCCACCTACATTGGGGCATTAGTGTATTTCCATTTTTCAAACTCAAATCTTTTAAATGTTGATACCATACTAAGTAACAATGTTTCATAATTTACCAGAATAGCAATTTAAGGAGGCTGGAGGGTCAACAAATTAACCACAAATTAACCACCAGATTTATTAACTTATTTTTTTAGACATGATATCTTAAGCTGTCAACTATCATTTGGCAAAGAAAAATTAAAAAAAAATTAGTTTTAAAATTTGATCATTTTCTATATATATATATATGGAGCTCTTCTTCTAAAGGAGATATATATAGTCTAAAATGGCCACAACCCCCAGCCCCCTTAACACTCTGACCTCGTTTCTATAAAATCAATTAAAAAACTTTTTCACAGCTCTAATAAAATGTATTAACTTTAACATTTTTATACCCCCCGCTTGAAAAGCGGGAGGGTATATAGTAATCGTTAATTCCGTCCGTCCGTCCGTCTGTCTGTCCGTCCGTCTGTACGTCCGTCCGTCCGTCTGTTACGCTTTAGGGTACCCATCTCTTATCCGCAACTCCTCTTAAACCATTGAGTGAAATTTAATGAAACTTTCACAGAATCTTTATTACATATTGCCATTGTGCACCTCCTATTTTACTTTTTGATCCGACACATATTTTGGGTTTGCCGACCACAGTAAAACATGGACTTTGTCATCAGTTATAACCATATGGGAGGCGGGGGGTATCATTTAGTGAGCTCATTGCTCACAGTACCTCTAGTTTTAGATATATATCAGGATGAAACATGTAGAGTATATTTATTTTTGAATTAGGTACTGCAGTATCAGATTTGAAGAGGAAATTATCAACAGATGCCGATGACCAGACCACAAAAAGAATCAAAAGAAATGAAAATACTTGTAGAGCGAAGACTTTGACCAACAGTAAGGTTTTTAATCCAACACAATGTCAAAAGAGCAACCACTCTCAAGCAAATAGAAAAACCACTCTCTCCTCTCCTCATTTTGATTCTGCAGCATCTCAAAACTTAAAGGCTGCTCATGAAAATAAACTGGTGCACCCACAAAATCTGATCAATTCATTACATGGTAACAAACATCTTAAAGATAATAAAAGAGACAGTAAAGCATCAGTGCAACAGAGACCATCATCACAGGCTATGGAATTGGGTACCAGTAAAATCCCAGTTGGTCAGAGTACCAGTAAAATCCCGCTCTGTCCAGGTCACAGTAAGCCCTGCTCCATGACGCAAACTAGGAAGAAGGGAGATAACTTCCTCCGATGGTTCTTTACATGTGGGGTCTATCCAAGGGCTAAGCAGTGCAAGTTCTTTAAGGTAAAATCATAAATGTGTAAATTCACACTGTTACAGTAAGTTTAAAGTGTTATATATTGTTTACAAGGTTTGTTTGTTGATTTTGATAAGCATTCTGCGCCTGAAAGGTGACTCAATGGCAGAGTTCTACTGTTCAATCATCTTTCCAGATTTTTCAGTGACTATTCGATCAGTTGTCTGACAGGAGCAGTTTTATCCTTTGTTAATTACTGTGTTTCTTGTTTATTCATTGCAATATTTTCAAGTTCTTTAATCTTTATGAAGTCGTTTGTCTTTTAGTGGGCTGATGAAAGTTTTCCTATCTGTCCAACCCATGGAAAACCAGCCGCATTCAGAACAGTCCTAAAAGAGGGACCAAACAATGGAAAAAAATTCTTTGCTTGTCCACTACCAAAACAGAAGCAGTGCGGATTCTTTGAGTGGGCGGAAGGTTTCTAATTTTTGAAGAAAAAGAAGACTCTGTGTTTTTGTGATAAACAATGTACACCGATACATTGTGTGGCTTTCCATTAAATGTTTGGATGTGCAATAAAATTTTTACTTGTATATTCTGATTTTTGTTGTTGTCCAAATTGTTAAAATCTTTTAAAATTATGATAAATCTTGTACCAAGTAATATGTGTATAGTAAACAAGAAGTTCTATAGATTTTTCTGCAGATTTTGGATCTTGAGGTTGGTATAGGGAGAAATTTTTTTAATGATAAGTTAAAGATATATTTAAGGTGGGATCAGGTGCCTATGAGGAGTTTGCATGGTCAAGTTAACGGAACATTCCTTAGTCAAAGGACAAGGTAGGGTAGCGGCCAAATCGGGCCCCTTATTTGATGTAAAAATCAGAAGACTAGTGTCGCGCGTGTGGTGCAGTGGTTAGAACGTGTGCTCCTGAGTTGCGAAGTAAGGAGTTCATCCTTACATTGATGGTTCGAATCCCACTGTGTGACGTGGAGACCGGTCCTGCGGATGAGACTGTATAAACCGAGGTCCAGTGTCACAGTAGGTGCTGCACGAAAAAGATCCCTCCCTGCTCAATGGCCCTGAGTGTGCCAAGTTTAGGACAAAACTTGCAGCTCTTCACTGGCAAATGGTGGCATCTCCATATGAGTTAAAAATATTCTCGAGAGGGACGTTCAACAATATACACTATACATGGAGGCTACAAGAGGGTGCAGAAGTAGGACATTTTCTCAAATTTCCTCAATTCTGGTGGAATTTCATATTTGAGATACTTTTCTTTTAGCATAGAGCGCAAGCTTCCTATCATATTTTTACATTTAAACTGCCTCTGATACAAGTGTATAAAAAATATAAATGTGGTAGATAGGCAAGCTTATGCGTCATGTTTTCCGAAACAAAATGTGCTGTAAAAATAAAATCGATGAAAATTTGAGTTTAACTTGCAATTGAGAAATTTTGAAAATTGACCTATTTTCTGACCTCTCTATGACCTATATGTATTCCAAAACTTAAGACCAATACTCATTTTGTTGCAAGGACGACAACAGATTGTTATTAATAAACCGTTGCGTCATTCTAAAAGACAACCAAAATCAGGGGCCATAAAAGGGTCTTACCCCATCTTGTCCTTTATAATTACATATAAAAACAAACAAACTGTATGTTGAATGAAATAAGTCAGCCAAAACATGATTCTACATTGTTTATACTGTAAAATCGCACATTTTCGTTGGGTCAAATTTTTGAGGTTTAATGAAGGGAAAAATATATTGTTCTGTATGGACTTGATTCCGTTGTCGGAAAATGTTAGGTAGTAATGCATACTGTAAAATCACGTATTTTCGTGGGGTCAAATTTTCGTGGTTTGAGGAAAAACTCTTGGTTTGTGGGGATTTAAATTCGTGGATGAGGAATTGTTGAGAACGTAACATGTAACCTTTTACATTTCGTGGTGGACATGAATTCGTGGGTGTGTTCATATCTCGAAAGTAACGAAAATTAAACCCCGACGAAAATTAGCGATTTCACAGTATATGAAATTTTACATATATAATGAGCTTTCAGCTCAGGTGAGCTAATAAGTCAGCATAAATATTTTCAAAGTTGCAACCTCTACATACATGTACTACAAGTATAATTGAATTTGACGTTGCTAATAACATGAATAATCAGTTAATCTTTCTTTAATTCAGTTAATCTTTCATTTATTTACACGTATGTACTTCCATTAAAAATAGAGTGATCCCATTCCACCTTAATTACTATAAATTAATTCAGGTTCAACTTTACTCAAAACATGCGTACACAAACATTAAGCTTTCATTTTGAAAGAATCTGCAAGTAAATAAGTTCATGATTTAAGGAAATCTGCATTAATGTTAAAACAATTACTGGGTAGGTAACCGCTTTCCACACTGTCTCATAAATTCATTCATGCAAATATTGAAATGTTTCACATTGATCAGTAATTATAAGAAATTATAATCGATCAATTATTAAAAAAAAAGATATTTTAGGACTTAGATAAACCCATCAGATGAACTTTAGTATTTAAAACAAGATGTGTTTGTAAAACATTTTGCACCCAGCGGCAACAAAGTGCAAAAAGCTATTTTTAGCAAATATTTTGGACACAGTCAGGGTCACAGGTCATTGACTTGGTGTCATTTAAAAGAATTTGATTAGTGGAGTATGCATATAGCAAATATGAAGTTTCTATCTCTTATGGTTCAGAAGTTATGGCGAAGGTTCAAAAGGGCTATTTTAGTATATATGTCAATGTCAAGATAACAAAATCATTGACCTTGGTGTCATTTGATAGAACTTTTAAATGAGTGGAGCATACCGCATGTGAAGTCTATCTTCTATGGTTCAAACGTTATGGCGAAGGTTTGAAAAGAACTATTTTTTAGCATATAAATCTTAGTCAAGGTCACAAGGTCATTGACCTTTGTATCATTTGAAAGAGCTTAATTAGTGGAGTAGGCATACCAAATATGAAGTCTATATCGCTCATGGTTCAAAAGATATGGCGAAGGTTAAAGTTAACAACAGACAGACAAACAGACAGGCAGGACAAAAACAATATGCGCTTTTTTGCCCTGTCCGTCTGTCTGTCTCTCTGTATGTTTATCTGTCCGCAAAACTTTAACCTTGTCTATAGCTTTTGAGTGGATGGGCCTATGGCGTTCTTATTTCGCAGGTGTATTCCTTGTGATAAGAATTTTCTTTAGGTTCCACCAAATTTGACATCGTGACTTTGACCTTCGAGTTTAACCCCCTTTTACCAAAAATTTCCGAACCTAAACCATAGTAAAAGTTTTGAATAGCTGGTGTTAGGGCTTTCATATGCTTCACATGTGTATTCACTGTGTCGAGACCTTTCATTGGATATAAAATTATCTGACCTCTTGACATGACCTTTAGCTTAGAGTTTGGCCGGCTTTAAAAAAAACATTAACCTTGACCATAACTTTTGAACCGTTAGTACTAGGGCTTTAATTTTTCGCAGGTGTATTCCTTGTGACAAGACCCTCCTTTAGATACCAACAATTTTGACCTTGACCTAAGAGTTTGGGCTACTTATAATAACTTAAACTTGACCATAACTTTTGAAAAGTGCATGGACACAGATTTGAAGTGTATATTTTCTCAAATTTTCTGTATAATATTACGACTTACATATTTCTTGAGCATTCCACAAGAAAATATAATAAAAATTTTATTTCATCTCCAAGTTATGGAAACTTCGAATTTCCGGTAGGGTTTCATTGACACGTCCTTGCACTTTCACAATTATAATTTTATTCTTAATACTTCAGAAAAATGGCAATTTCGTTGTATATTAATGAAAAATATTAAAACTGCAATTAATCTAGATAATTCAGAGTAGAAATGTTCGAAAAGAAAACGCGCTTACAGTATAAAATCAGTACTTGCTCAGTTTTGGGCAGACCTAACAATTAAGCACGCCCGGTGAATCGTAAACATTTACAATAACAGAGCTTGTGCCCTGTTTACAAAAACAGTTTATGTTTCACAAGTGTATAAATTTTGTTAAACTGTACAGAAGACTGAACACGCACTGGCGATACTATTTAGGGGGTTTTACATGTGAGAAGACCTTCCACTGGGTACCAACAATTTAGACCTTGAAGTTTAACTTGCAATTGAGAAATTTCAACCCTCGCCACAAGCTGCTTTGCTAGGACATCATTGTTTCTCATGCACATCTTTTTAATCAATTTTAGCTATTTCAGTGATTTTCCACGATATTGATATTCGAGATATATCGATTCAGCTAATGAATGGAAATACAAATATAATTTTTAAGCCGGATTATCGATTATCTCATGTTCCTGAATTCCATCTTTGTCCTTTTGGACATCCGTGACACATCCCCGGACATCATCAGAGCCAATTCGTCTTTTCCTTGTCTTCTTTCCAAGTTTTCTGCATAGACCGTATTTTAGATGGCGCATCATGATTGGTATATCGCTGATGACGATGATTCCGATGAAAAATACGATGAGTAGTGGTCCAAATATCGTCCCAACGGCAACGGCAGATGCACGTTTATCAAAGACAGATACTCGTTTGCGAAGCTTTTTATTCAACTCTGCTTTATTGACTTTCAACTCCTTTGTCATTTTTTCGATTTTAGCCTTGAGCACTTTCTTGTCCGTAATGAAAACCTGATTTTTCATCCGCTCGCATGGACACATACAACCTTAAAAAAAAGGTATTGCTCAATCAAAAATTTATTTTTTAATTTTTTTTCTTTTTTTAACTTTTCTTTACAGTATGAAATTCTTTCATATTCAATCAATATTATTTTCCTTATAAACTAAAGTATCTTTTTGTTTTCAAGAGGCTGATCAATAGATATATCGACTGGGTAAGTGCAAGCTTGATTTGCTTTTATTTTTTCTTTTTGTTAAGGACATTCATACGTAAGTTTCATACGTAAGATTTCTAAGGAGATGGCTAAAAGTTAGAATATATTAAAACTTTAAATATTTTTTTCAGGTCCCTTGATTCACTAAACGAACTCAAATTTTCAGTCATCTGTAAACTATTTATTAATTGTAAAGTATACCTTTAAATTAACAGTTTAAGTCAAATTATTTGAATAAATTGCATCAAGCAGGCACACAATTTATTCAGTGTAATTATTGCATACTGGTACAAAAATGCCTTTGATATTAAAAAAAATACCTTGGTTCACAGGCGAAGCTGTAGTTGATTTTATAAGATTAGTCATTGACCTTGTTGAGAGGGATGATGATACATGTGCCGATGGGAAGGTGTCTGTTGAGGACGATTTAACTGTGCTTGATGATTTAGGTGTAGATGTTGACAAAGAAGATGGTACCAATGTGGAGCTGAAGGTTTTTAAAGGTGAAGTTGTGGTTGATGGTACAGAATGAGTTGATGATGTTGACGCCAATGTGGAGCTACCGGTTATTGACGATGTAGTTGGCCTTGATGTTGATACCGATTTTGAACTACCGGTAGTTGACGTTGGAGTTGACGTCGATACCGATGTTGAACTACCGGTTGTTGGAGTTGATGTTGATATGGATTTCGAACTACCGGTTATTGACGATGTAGTTGGAGTTGATGTTGATACCGATTTTGAACTACCGGTAGTTGACGTTGGAGTTGACGTCGATACCGATGTTGAACTACCGGTTGTTGGAGTTGATGTTGATATGGATTTCGAACTACCGGTTATTGACGATGTAGTTGGAGTTGACGTCGATACCGATTTTGAACTACCGGTTGTTGACGTTGGAGTTGATGTGGATACCGATGTTGAAATACCGGTTGTTGATGATTTAGTTTGAGTTGATGTTGATACCGATGTTGAACTACCGGTTGTTGACAATGTAGTTGGGTTTGATGTGGATACCGATTTGGAATCAACGGTTTTTGTTGATGTTGTTGTAGTTGATGGTACAGAAACAATTTTTGATTGTAACACCGATGTGGAGACACTGGTTGTTGACGATGTTTTTGTAGTTGATGGCACGGAGTCGGTTGTTGAAGTTGATGGTACAGGTTCAGTTTTGGATAAAAATGATGTTATACTTGTTGAGCTGGCAGGTGCTGATGTTGTAGTTGTGTAGTTGATGTTCAAATAAAAAAAGTTATAATGTTTGTAGCAAAGTTTTTATAGTAAATGTTAGTTTTACGGTAGAGACAGTGTAATTTCTTGAGTTGATAATACATGTATGAATCACAAAAAAAATTATTCACTTAAATATGATTCATGAAAAATATTAAACAGACTGGGATTATGTAACATGGTGTGTGGGTCGTTCTCCAAATCATCCTCGTGCTAGCTCTGTGTATCAGATTTTGCCTTTAAGTATTGGGATTAAAAAATGCTTGGTTTGGAAAGTGTAGGGAAGTTAGATGCTAAATAATACATGAACAGTAAACAAAAACAAACTTTGAATGGCTTATTTTGAAAAGATGAACCTAGTGTATAAGAGTATATTCATATAGTCTTAGATATAGATAATATCTTTTGTGTTAACATATACAAAAAGGTCTTACCTTCAAAACTGGAAGAACATAAGACAGGGAGTTGTTTGTCGCACGGCAATACAACAAATTTTGATCTTTCGCCACTAAACGCTACGCAGTCAGAAGTGTCGGAATTGTCAGTAAGTGTTTTCCATTCTTCTCGTCCAAAACATTGAGTCTCATTTCGGATATTCATGAAGTATCCTTCTAAAATTAGGTCATGAGCACCAATCCAAACTTCTGGTCTATTTTCAATCCTTTATTAAAAAAAAGTTTTGGGTAAAGAAAATAAAATAACATGGAGAAGTTTACTTAATAAAAAAAAAAATTCAAGGTCCAATGGCCAAATCGCTAATCGTAGCATACTGGCTGGAAAGAAGCCGAAATCAATCCAGTATCATAATAAAAATTGCAGTAAATACAAGAATGAAACAAATTTTATGAGTTTGTAGTTTTAGTCTGACAAAAGATAACGAGCTCTACAGATAAAAGTAATTAAAGAGGCTGATCAATAGGAATTAAACTTTTAAATCGGACGGTCCCATGAAATAGATCATGGGAATGCAGCTGCTACTTGCTTGTTTATGAAAAGATGTATTTGGTTAGTGTGAATAAGGAACCAATACTTATAGTATTGAAGTGACCAGAGGTCAGATATTTGGATGAATTAGCTACAACAAATAATATTTAAAGATTATGCAAAAGATTGGAAATTATTTTAAAAGTGCATTAGAAATTTTAAAAGTACTCAAGGTCAGAAGTAATAGTAATTAAAATTCAAATAAAAATTTTAAGTAATTATTGCAAATTTTGAAGAAGTTACAAATATGGAGATGTAAATCGACAAAGGTACACCTAGTATAAAATGACTGGCCGGGATAGACAGGACTTCAGTGGAAAGCTGAATCTTGACTGTCTTGGTTGCATTTTATACAGGTGAGATTATTTTGTAGACTTGCGCACGTTTTGATCAAAATTATTAAATTTTCACATGGCTTATTTTATTTACAAGTTAAACTTTTTATATTATAAGTAGTTATAGTTTTAATATGGTTAAGTATCTTTTGTAAAATTATTAATTGTAATCATAAATATTAGAAATAGATTGTTTAGTTTAATAAAGAGTGGAAAGCTGAATTTTGTCTCTTTCTGGTTGCATTTATATAGGTTGGGTAACATCGCCACTCCCCATAACCTGTAATGCGCTGGACATGCAGAAAGAGAATAGATAAATCCGAGGGAGATCAATGCAAACTTGAACATTAAGAGCGTAATGAGCTTTGTCAGGTCAGGACCAGGGAATTGGAGGAAGGTTTTCCCTGGCCCTTAAAACCTCTCACATGCGGAAAAGCGAGGAACGATCCCGGGAGTTCATAATCAGATCCAGTCACCAGACAAATAATATAACAATTCCAAAACAAATTCTCAAAACAGATAAAATCCCCCAAAACAACATATTTCTTTTACAAAACCAGTATTGAAAGAAAAAGTTAAATTAACACTACCTAAATGCTTCTATATCAATATTGCTAATCATGTCTTTGCTATTCTGAATGAGAAAAGAAGAATAGACGTTTTCTATGTTTTCTTATGTAAAAACTGATTGCTCATTGTGACCCCACCCTACATGTACCTATCGTAAACTATTCCTAAGTAAACCTTTACCCAATGTTGTGTCACTGTCATACATGTACCCCAAGAGTCCTGATTTGAACAAATTTAAATTGAATCTACACTACCTGAAGATATTGTGACCCCGCCCTACCCTAACGGGTTATGATGGGAAGAAATTTGAATTTAAAATATGTTATAAAGCTTTCAAATACTGTAAACCAACTTTTATTCGCGTGCGAGAAATTTTCGCAAAGTTCGAGACAGCCTCGTCATCGCAAATATTTCTCGCCGTGAACAAGTACTTAAAGCATCTCTGTCTATCTACAATAGATTGAAAAATATATCTGATCGCGAAAATTAATCGCCGCAAACTAGTTTACCCATAGTTAATCGCGAAATAAAGTCGTCGCGAATAAAAGCTGGTTTACAGTAAGTTTCATCTTTCCTGACACAGTGATTCGTGAGAAAAAAAAAATGCCACCAAATTGTCACGAAATCTTTATCTTTATTATTACTGTACATATATATGCTTCTTATACTGAGTGAGTAAATACATTCTAGCTAATTATGAAGTAACTTTTTCCTCATCAGATGAGAAAAAGGAAGAAAAAACCAAAGGAAAATGGGTTGTCGAGACATTTGAAAAGAATTTTGTACTTCTCAAAGGATTTAAATAAAGCGGGTCTTCACTAGGTAGTCTTTACAAAAATCTCTATGTGTTTTCGTATATAAATATATAATGATAAATAGCTTTTCTCTACACAAAATCTCTCCAAAATTTCAAATTTGAATAATTTGCGCATTTATATTTATTTTTCTTGAAAATTCTGCTTCCAGTCACCATCCCCCCCTCTCGAAAAAATGTACAGAAAAATTTTGATTCTAGGAATGATATCAGCCTTTGCATTGAAAAACAGCAAGATTCATCTGCAAGAAAAACTTACTTTTCATACAACGAAAGCAGTGTCACATTATCCGTTATTTCAGCGAAAGTTCCATTTTGTGCTTGACAAATTCTATCGGCATTAAAGAAGGCAGTTCTTTCCACGGTTATCCAAAGGTTTATAATACTGCTAAGATTTTCTTTTATCTCAGTTGTGCAATTTACTATATGGAAAGAAAAAAAGAGCACATGATCGGTTCAGTTATCACATAAAAAAAGTCTCTGATTCTTTGTATATTTTATTTCCTTTAATGATGAAAATAAACGTACATAAGACCTCTTTGGAACATATGGCTTTGTACATGTTCCAAAGTGTGCATAAATCATCATACCATCCATATTCACGCTTGCTAACGCAATCTGCTTCCATAATTACCCAATTGTATCGATTATTTGGTTGCCTTCGAGCCCAGTTTGTATAGACAATAGATCTGTTCCTCATATCAACAAAGTGATTTTCGTTAAAGATATCATTAATACCAATCCAATATCCATGTCCAAAATACCTGTAACACAACTTATTAATTCATTTATTAATTGTTCATGAACATTAAAATTATTTGTTCATGATATTAACAGGAGATATTAGGAAATATCCAGAAACAAAATTATGTTATACTTAGTATGAAACAAATCTGCCGAAACACAATCATGTAAGTGATATTTTATATTTCCTATTTAACATTGTAATAAGGTCATTACAAAGAACGCAGAATTTACAAAATCCTGTCTTAAAACGAGGTTGTTAAAATTCCTGACATATCAACTTTTATGTAAATAGCCTACTTCCGTTTAAAAATTTACCATACTCAGAGCATTCTCTTTAATAATGAAGAAGTAGCATAAAACATAAACACCATAAGCAGGTATAAAACGGAATACGACTAAATAAATGAGAATAGTTTACGATGGAAAGATGAAGTCATCTCGTTTGTCATCAAATTTAGATGTAAGTTTGCCTTTGTCATCTATAGTTAGTAAAATATCCGAAAATGAAACAAAAACTCAAATTCATCTAATCGGCATATTAATGGAAATGAATATTAGTTATTGTGTCATAAAACGTCATCGATATATCTGGATGTTGAGTTGAGGACCACGACGTGTTTTCTTCTTCTCATGTACTTGTTTCCATCATTAAATTTAAGCTTCATTTTCCGATTAAGTTAGAAATAATGTAAGATGTGAAAGAGTTTCATTATACATATATTACATGGCTTCGAGGGCAGCATACCAGAATATTTGCCCCCAAGGTGACAGGAAAGCCCTGGAGTGTTATGTCGCCCGATGCTGAAGGCAGAGGGCGGCATAACACTCCAGGGTTTTCCTGTCACTGAGGGGCAAATATTCTGGTATTGCTGCCCGAGAATTAAGCCATGTAATATATGGTATATAACATTTTTAAACCTTGCACTCAAATTGATCATCGAACATATTTATTGAACATTATGTACGTGTGCATGTACGTTGAGTATAATTCCGAGATATCCCGTCCTGTTTCATGGCAGAATGTTTTCAGTTTGCTGACACTTGTGTTGATAACCTTTGTTGTATTTAAGGAATTGTCCTCCTCAATAAATCCTCTGAATTCAAATAAACAAATCGCAGACGTTATTCCGACTTTTTAATTTTCGTGGAACTACGTTTGCTTAAGCAACTGCCTCAGTGAATTTTGAACCCGACGCATTCAATATGCAGAATGATTGCAGGCGAGGGAACATAACTGTGTTCGGGAGGGCAATATAACTGTTTCCGGTGAAATATAACTATATCCTGCGTGATTCAGCAGTTTTTCAGGGTATATGGATAAAAATATTATATTTATGATATAATAGGAAAACTTCTTCAAAAATGTTATATAACTATGTATTATACTTTCATGTAAATTAGTTGAATCTGATTGGCCGAGAAACATTTGTTAAATAATAAAAATAATGAAGCCACGCCTTCCAGCGTAGCAACAGTCAACATTGCTTGACGACGGGTGGTATTCCAAAAAATAGCGACTGCGCAGAATTTATGCGCGCACGGTTCACTGTTATATGTATTTGTATAAAACATTCAGTATAATATAATAAATATAGCATGTAGTTGAGTGTAACATTGAAAATTTTCACTCCTCGAAAACCATTGTCAACCTCGGCTGCGCCTCGGTTGACAGTTGGGGTGAAAATTTTCAATGTTACACTCAACTACATGCAATATCTATATAATATTAAAACAATACTTACTGTGAAATCCTCTTATCAGTGTCTTCATCTGGAACATCTGTGAGGATACCACCGTGTTTTTGACAATTCTGATGTGCATCTAGGAAATTCATTTCCGTTTTAAGCTTCCAAAAACATCGATCATTGAAAAAAACTTGAGTCACGCTGGGACAGACATCTGTGAAAAATAATTCATTGAAAAAAAAACATAAACAAGATATGTCAGAGTAATGTAAATATTGTTAATATTATAGTAAATATTTCTATATGATATTTCTGAAATTTTTCAATTTTACCCATTTTAATTTACGCCTATTGAAAATTTACAACATGTACAGCTGACCAGTTGTGCCGTATCAACCTGGTGGTGCCAAAATTACCCATTATATATTAAACGCTTCTTATCGAGTAGGAAATATATTCCTCAAGTAGTTTAACTATTTAAAAAAATTTCTAGCTCTCCCATAATTATTGGCAAAAGGACAATTGAGCATCGTTATCTGTTCAACCAGAACTTTTGACTATTATAATTGTTTAAAATTAAGGACAGATGATCAAAAACCAAATTCCGGACTGCTCCTGTGGCAACCTCACAGACCTCCTTTATTAATCAAGAATTTCATATCTGGGCAAAAATGGTGCACAGTGCACAGCTGGAAACTGCTTTTCGGACAAGGTTATTCAAGGGTCCTACCATGATACCAAGACATTCAATCCCAATTAAATCCCACTGTTTTCGAAATAATGGCATATTATGCACTAGTACCGATCCGGCAAATGTTCAATTCATGCAGAAATAAGTAAGGCAAGCCCTTTTACAATTTATTCGTGAAATAAAAATTTTCTCTCAATAAGAGAGATATCTCTCTAGCATAGCTTATAGAGATATCTCTTTGACTAAACGAGATATCTTTATACTAGTATACCTTAGAGAGATATCTCTTTAAACAAAAGAGATCATATCTCTTTTTGTAAGAGAGATATCTCTTTTACTTAGAGAGATATCTTTATAAGCCAGATAGATATCTATTTTTGTAAGAGAGATATCTCTTTTACTTAGAGAGATATCTCTTTAACAAGGTAAAAAGAGATATCTTTCTTAGTTAGAGAGATATCTCTTTAGATTTTCAAAAAGAGATATCTTTATGTAAGCTAAAGAGATATCTTTTTTCAAGTGATGCTTAAAATAGAATAATTAATTCTCCACTTTAAAACGAAAGCGAAACAGGAAGTAAAGTCTCTGGAATAGTTTCGATTTTATAAAAAAAAAAAGACTGAGCAAGCAATTACCCAGAATTATATGTACTGTGTAGACAAAAATGCTATAAATCCCTTATTTGAAACAACAAATAATAATGGCAACTTCATTGATAAAAATGCTAAAAGTTTAATATTCAGGAAAACGGAAGTAAGCATATATATAATTCAAATGCAATGGGCCGAATTTTCTCAGCTTATGAAATAATCAACTATTTCTAATTTGAAATCTAGACAAACACTAAATTAATTGAGATGTTTAGTAAAGTTATAATGTAGAATATCATAAATATGTCGAATTTAAAATACTTTCATGTACTTCCGTCAATAAAAAGTTTACTTCCGGTAAAGGGAGAAGTCATTTTAAATGGAATTGAAATAAAAAAATATGAAGAGAGATATCTCTTTGCAACAAAGAAATATCTCTTTTTGCTTGAGAGATATCTCTTTTAGAGACTTTTAAAAGATATCTCTTTCACTCTAAGAGATATCTCTTAAGATAAACTAAGAAAGATATCTCTTTTACTTTAAGAGATAATCTCTTTAACTTGGAAAGATATCTTCAAAACTGGCAAAAGTAAAAGAGATATCTCTGTAGGTGAAAGAAATATCTCTTTAACGCTTAGAGATATCGTTTTTCACGAAAGAGATATCTTTCAAGGAGTAAGAGATATCTTTTCAAGTGGAAGAGATATCTCTCTTATAAAAATAGATATCTCTTTAAGTATAAGAGATATCTCTTTCTCATAGAGATATCTCTTAAAATTGAGAGATATCTCTATTTTGTAAGAGATATCTCTCTCAAATGAGAGATATCTCTGTAATTTTAAGATAAATTTTATTTTCCGAATAAATAGCAAAAGGGTTTGGCCGGATTGCCATAAATAAGAATTAACAAGTGGTGCGTTAGTAATTTTGTCCAGTGTATTGTTGCAAAGTACTTTGAAGTGTCTCATTCACTACTGTTACAATCCTAGTGAGGAGTAAAGAAACTTAAGAGGCTTCATTGAACATTTACTAGAACCCGCTATATACCTTTGTTTGTAAGGATTCTTATGAAATTTATTATGAATATGGTATATGAATAAAAAAAATTCCAATGGTATTGTGTATATAACTATGCAGAGCATTATGTTACCTCAAATTCGACACATTTCTACCTTAGTCTTAAGTAGAAGAATTCTGGCCATTGAGCAGTAAGGTATAACCCTTTGTCACAATGGATGTGAGTTTATAAATTCTCATGAAAAATAAAGCTAAAACGGTTATCAAGTTTACAAATTCATTTCAACAATGCAAGTTGTGAACAGAAGTAACGAAGACCCCTGATAACATGATTTCATCTGTGTAAAGAAGACAATATTTTCATTCTTAACCAAACTATATTATAAAGTATACGTATAGAAAATATAATACAAAACTTTCGAGTGCATAATCTTTAACAAGATCTTTGCAACTTCACAGAAACTCCCCCATGGTGGGAAGTCTCACCTAGAAACGAACGTCCATTTCAGCGATAGATCTCAAAAAGATCATAGGTAGATCAGGTGCCATGAAGGAATAAGTATCCCAAGTCTATCAGTCACATCCGCCTTTTGCGCCTTGTCATGATCGGACAAAGACAAAAACCCGTAGACAAGTCAGTGTGAAAAAAAAATTGTTTAACAAATTATTTTAAAGAAACGTTAGTAATCTTTCGACTAGGTGTCATTTTTTGACCAAGGAATATGCCAGATGTTTATATTTAACGAGACTTCAAATAACTTTTTTGTCAACTAATTTGTCAATAGTATACCTCGTTTAAGAACATAAATCAGGGAAAATGTCATTACAAAAGTTGAAGCTACCAGGATTATCATATATAGTTTAAATACAAATAAGAAAATGATTTATTCCCTCCGATGGATTTGTTAATTTTCTTGTGTTGAATTATTGAATATTCTTGATGAAGAATAGAAAGGTCATATCGCATCACTCTTCACGAAGTGAATTTAGAGTAATAGGAGCAACATAATTCAGGTGGGAAGACCTACAATGGGAATGTCTGACGTTATTCTTGTATCTAGTGGTAGAGTAGGTCCTCAAAGAGTGGAAGTTTGGCTCAAGAGAGAGACTTCACCAAATGAGACTCTCTCCAAATGAGACTTCACTAAATGAGACTTTCTCCAAGTGAAACTTTCTCAAAATGAACCTTCACCAAATGAGACTTCACCAAATGAGACTTTCTCCAAATGAGACTTTCTCCAAATGAGACTTTCTACAAATGAGACTTCTCCAAATGAGACTTTCTACAAATGAGACTTTACCAAATGAAACTTCACCAAATGAGACTTCACCAAATGAAACTTCACCAAATGAGACTTCACCAAATGAGACTTTCTCCAAATGAGACTTTCTCCAAATGAGACTTTCTACAAATGAGACTTCTCCAAATGAGACTTTCTACAAATGAGACTTTACCAAATGAAACTTCACCAAATGAGACTTCACCAAATGAGACTTTCTACAAATGAGACTTCACCAAATGAAACTTCACCAAATGAGACTTCTCCAAATGAGACTTCTCCAAATGAGACTTCACCAAATGAGACTTCTCCAAATGAGACTTCACCAAATGAGACTTCTCCAAATGAGACTTCTCCAAATGAGACTTCACCAAATGAGAGTTTCTCCAAATGAGACTTCACCAAATGAGACTTTCTCCAAGTGAAACTTTCTCAAAATGAACCTTCACCAAATGAAACTTCACCAAATGAGACTTCTCCAAATGAGACTTCTCCAAATGAGACTTCACCAAATGAGACTTTCTCAAAATGAGACTTCACCAAATGAAACTTTCTCCAAATGAGACTTCACCAAATGAGACTTTCTCCAAATGAGACTTCACCAAATGAGACTTCTCCAAATGAAACTTCACCAAATGAGACTTCTCCAAATGAGACTTTCTCCAAATGAGACTTCACCAAATGAGACTTCACCAAATGAGACTTTCTCCAAATGAGACTTCACCAAATGAGACTTCACCAAATGAGACTTTCTCCAAATGAGACTTCACCAAATGAGACTTCTCCAAATGAGACTTCACCAAATGAGACTTCACCAAATGAGACTTTCTCAAAATGAGACTTCACCAAATGAGACTTTCTCCAAATGAAACTTCACCAAATGAGACTTCACCAAATGAAACTTCACCAAATGAGACTTCACCAAATGAGACTTCACCAAATGAGACTTCTCCAAATGAGAGTTTCTCCAAGTGGTACTTCACCAAATGAGACTTTCTCCAAATGAGACTTCACCAAATGAGACTTCACCAAATGAGACTTTCTCCAAATGAGACTTCACCAAATGAAACTTCACCAAATGAGACTTCACCAAATGAGACTTCACCAAATGAGACTTTCTCAAAATGAGACTTCACCAAATGAGACTTTCTCCAAGTGAGACTTCACCAAATGAGACTTTCTCCAAATGAGACTTCACCAAATGAGAGTTTCTCCAAATGAGACTTCACCAAATGAGACTTTCTCCAAGTGAGACTTCACCAAATGAGACTTCACCAAATGAAACTTCACCAAATGAGACTTCACCAAATGAGACTTCACCAAATGAGACTTCACCAAATGAGACTTTCTCAAAATGAGACTTCACCAAATGAGACTTTCTCCAAATGAAACTTTCTCAAAATGAGACTTCACCAAATGAGACTTTCTCCAAGTGAGACTTCACCAAATGAGACTTTCTCAAAATGAGACTTCACCAAATGAGACTTTCTCCAAGTGAGACTTCACCAAATGAGACTTTCTCCAAGTGAGACTTCACCAAATGAAACTTCACCAAATGAGACTTCACCAAATGAGACTTCACCAAATGAGACTTTCTCCAAGTGAGACTTCACCAAATGAGACTTTCTCCAAG